GGGACGTGTCAGATTCCAGCGCTCCGGACAGCGCTGCGCGATCCCGGCCCCGGCCCCGGGTGGCTCTGGGGCTGCCCGGAGCGTGCGGCGCGCTCGGACCGGCTCTGGCAGCGGCAAKGAGCCGTCCGTGCCGCTGACGGGATCGCTCCGAGCGCCTCTCAACCGCCTCGGTATTAATAACACAACTCTCAAACATCTTAAAGCGTGTAAGAAGCATCGGCTCATGGGCTTAATACCGGATTATTCCGAAATGTAACTACTTTATTTTTTGAAATCTGAAAAGGATGGTTGTGAACTTCGGGGAGGCTTTATTGTGCRGTAGAAAAGCAGATAAACTGTTGCGGCTCTACTTTGGGTTTCCAGTCACACAATCACAGAATCAACTGGKCTGGAAAAGACCCCTGAAATCACCGAGTCCAAGCTGTGACCGAACTCCAGGGATTCACCCAAACCGGCAGCGAGTGCCACGTCCACTCTACCCTTAAAGACCTCCAGATCGGTGGCTCCCCCAGCTTCCTGGAAAGCCCATTCCAATGTCTAAACACCCCTAGTGTGAAAAATTCCTTCTGAYGTCCAACTTAAACTTCCCCTGGCACAGCTTGAGACTATGTCCTCTCATCAGATGAATTACTCCAAGTCAATTTTGGAATATTTTCTTTAACTGAGTTCCTTTTCCCGTGGCATTTCTGCTGCCACCTAGGCAATTAATCATATATATACTCAATAATGTTTTATATTCTGGATGCACCTGGATTTTTATGAAATATTATTAATGACAAGTTAAAAGTAGATACTTAAATATTAAAAAAAAAATAGCATGTTGTGCTATGCACCYGAAGGAATGAACTAAATAAAGGTAATTTTTGGTAGAAATTAACATTAAGCTATTCAGAAAAGCACAGAAATAGGAAMATTTGGAATGGAAATACATTTTTCAAAACTGCATATAAGTAAGAACTGCATGTATGAGCACCTCTCATTTTATTAGTGATTTTTTTCCCACTTCCTGTACTTTATTAGTCAGGAATTACATGGTTGTCAGCGGTGAAAAATAAGGCACATATTTTATACAGTGATTCTCCTGAAAACACCGTCAGACAATGGTCAAATCAGATAAATTCTGGACCTCCAGACTGAGATATTACCAATCCATAATAATGCTAGGATAYTGAAAACATAAAAGTATTGGATGCATTCACTAATTAATATTCCTGATATTTCTTAATCATGGGAAGCTAAATAGTCACCTCCACTATATGCAGAGAGAACCAAACCAGAAAATTTATGAAGTGAGAACTATTTCAATTGTGACCATAATGCTCCCCCTTGAAAGTTTTTATGCTGCTACAAAGATGTGAGTCAAGTGATTCTCCTTTTCTTCCTCCCTCAGTGCTATTTCAGCTCAGTCCGCACGAGCGTGGGTGCAGACGAAAGCTGTGTATAAAATTAAAAAAGCATGGCATTATTTAAGCTGAGAGGCCCTTCAAATCATGTTTGTACAGCAGCCGAGCAGAGTTCTGCATGCTCAGCACTTCTGAACACTGAGCACCACAGGATTTTTCGCCTATATAGCATTTTTTGAGAAAATGAATGGAGGAATCAACATGTTCTCATTTAGCTATAGATTTTTGATTGGTCTGTACTTAAGCTAATAGCATAACTATTTATTTGGTATAAATAAGACATTCTCAATTGAAGATTGCTTTGGAGTCTTGAAGAAAAATACCGTGAAAAATAATYCAATTGCGGAAATAATTTTTGAATGGGGCCAGAAACAGTCTGCTTGAAGTTATTGAATACTTCTATATTGGCTGTAACTGCAGCAAAAGCTTCTGAAAAGCTGTGAGCATACAGAAACAAYAAACACTGAAGAAAAAAGTGGGCACATGTCACAGAATCACAGAATGGTTTGGGTTGGAAGGGACCTTAAAGATCATCYTGTTACAACCCCCTTGCCATGGGCAGGGACACTTTGCACTATCCCAGGTTGCACAGCCCTGTCCAACCTGACTTTGGGCACTGCCAGGGATTCAGGGGCAGCCACAGCTTCTCTGGCATCCTTCTCCCTACCATCACAGGGAAGGACTTTTCCCTAATACCTAATCTAAAACTACTCTCAATTTAAAGCCATTTCCCCCTGTAAACAGTGTCTCTCCATCTTTCTTGTAAGGTGAACTGAAAGGCCACAGTTAGGCCACCCCAGTAACTTCTCCAGGCTGAACAATCCCAATTCTCTCAACCCTTCCTCATAGGAGAGTTGCTCCATCCCTCTGGTCATCTGAGTGGCCTCTTCTGGACTTGTTCCAAGAACTCCATGTCCTTCCTGTGCTGGGACCACAGAGCTGAATGCAGGACTCCATGTGGGTCTCACCAGAGCAGAGCAGAGGGGCTCAACCAGCAGGTTCCAGATGACAAATTCAATGCAGAMACAGATCCCTACCCAAGGCCCTGCCTCACAATGTGTCATTCCAGGCACGTCCTGTCAGGATTAGATAAAATTTCATACAAGAACTTGCTTACTCCTTCAGAATTCAGTTTAGGAAACAGAGCTGTCAGCTCCACTATTCTCAGATCACCTGCACGCAATGAAATTCATGAGGCACTGCTGGTTGGAGAGCTGTGTTATAAAAAGCCATTCCTGCTAGATTTTTTCCCCCCCAGATTTCCCATTGATTAGGAGTTTTGCATGTGGAACAYTTAAAGGAACAGGCTTCAGCTGCCAATGACAATATCTCTGGGTTTAAAAGTTGTTCCACTCTCGCTCAGATTGCTGAGTAAGGACTGGAAAAAAAAAAAGAATAGCAGTGAGATAGGACAAGCACTGAGGGGAAATTTCAACAGAGAAAGGAAAAGGAGAAGGAAGGAAGGAAGAACAGATAAATCAAAARTTGCTGAAAAGTACAGGAAAGTGCAAAGAGCAGCACGTGCAATGTCAGGGGAAGGAGAATCCAATGTTCAGATCCACTGTTTAACCAAAGCGACTGGAAAAGTGCAAACAGGARGAAAGGTAATTGCAGAAATTGCACATTCCAGCAATACAGACAACCGTGGCAGTGGTGAAACAAAAGCAACACAGACCACATACACAATCCTGGAAGAGCCATGGAACATTGAGGACCCAGCTGGGACCTGGATTGAACAGCAGCCATGTCCYGCCTCACATTTAGAAAAGAACGTGGTTGTGATGGCAGGAAAACGACATTTTCTGTTCACTTTACAGTGTCAGTGCTGSTGCTGACCGGAAAGTCAGAGTCTGGTCAGCTACCACGATACAAAGAAAAGAAAAAACAGCCTCACCAAGTGCCAGTCATCGTTTCCATTCATTCGAGCTGCCCGGGGCTTCACAGGGAATGGACACTGAGCCAATGGAACCGGAGTGGAGTTCGGATGCCATCGTGTGACTACCTGATAAATTACACATCTTTTCCCTTTGTAAAAACATGAAAGATCCAGCAATATAAGAAAAGGTCTAGTTTTAAAATGCCATGTACAGTACTTGTTCTGCTCTTATTTTTTTTTTTTTTTCTGGCATTGTCCGTTTTGATGATTGAGTGAAATCCTACTCAAAACGCAAGTGTTTTGTCTCTAATTTGGACAGATAAACTATTTCTCAAAATCTTTTTCCTCTAAAGTTGTCACCTCAAGATGATACCCGAGGCAAATTCCAAGTTCCCTGAGCCACTCTGAATATACTGCAATAGCACACATGCTGACAAAAGTTATACCTCACGAATTCTTCATCAGCCTGAGGAGATGCCCAGGACAGAATACAGTGCTTTAATCGATAAGGTGGGTCAAGTCTCTCAGGTCATGTTGGTATCCAGTGTGAGAGATGGRAGCTTTAYCAGTTCAGAAAYCAYTTAATACTCATGCTAAGASSCMRG